CCCGCCTCGCCGCTTCATGCCAGCGGCCGCGTTACCGAGGGACACGACCGGACAGCCAGCGGGAAGCGACCCCCGCCGCCAATCGCTTATCGCGGCTTCGTTAGGGATGAATTCGTTAAATCCCGCGTCCCGTCCCTGTAAGGAGAGGCCTGGGGATGCCGCGGGGAAAGAGCGCGTCCGTCCGCTGCCGGGGGCGAAGCGCGGCGTCGAGCCGCGCCGACTCGGTTTCCCTCCCTACCTTCTCGTCCCTTCTATTATCGTCTTCAGGCACAGCTTGAAGACGTCGGCAAAGGATCCGAGGAGCTGGCAGTTCTAGCAAGGGAGAACGGCACGATCCAAGCGAGCAAACGGGACGCCAGGACCCCCCCCGCACCGCCACCACCTTAGCCGAAAAGGCTGCGCTCCGAAGGCGACCAGCGATAAAAGCTCCCGGCAGCTCCGGATTCCCCCCCCCAAAGCGGTCAGGACGCTGCCAAGCGATAGATCCGCGGGGATTCGGCAAGACGGAACGGTAAATCCATCCGGGCCGGAGGAATTTGGGTAAGAATCCCCCCCCCCCAACCATCCCGACGGGATTCGCCCCCCTACCCCCGGAAGGAGCCGGCCGCATCCCGCTTCCCCCTTCGGGGCGGGCCTCACCTCCACCTGCTCGTGCTTGGCGTCAAGGAAAGGCCCAAACTGCGAAGAAACGGCAACCGCAGTGAGAAAAACCAACGCGGAGAAAAAGGCACCAGCCCCAGGAACAAATTTAAGTCAGGCAGAGGGGGGAAAGAGCAGCGTTTTGCCTTTTTTTTAGGACTCCTGGGGTCCCTCTCCGGACTCGGAGGACAAGAGTAACGCTGCCGTAGAGGCCGCGGGCGGCTCTTCCTCCCCCCGGCGGACAACCCAATCTTCCTCCCTCCGGAGGAAAATCCCATTTAAGCACCCAGCTAAAAGTGTTGGTTTTTTCTTTATTAGTTTGCTCTGAGAAGCTCAAACCAAGTTTTATCCCTTAATCCCAAAGCAGCTAGGCCAAATCCGGGAGCCCGGATAAGAGCAGCGTCGGCCGAGCATCCTCCCTTGAGCGGGAGAGGGAAGGTCAGGTCGCGTCTCCCGGGGGATTTCAGAGGGGGATTTGCCGTCGGTTGGGAGGGAACCGGGGCTTTTGCGCGACCCTAAGGTGTGAAGCGGGCTTTGCTGTCGGGTTTGAGTGCCGAGGGCTTTTAAACGCGGATTATCCCGGAGCAGCCTCGCCTCGCGCCGCGGTTGGGCTGCGGGATGATCTCGGCGGCTCAGAGCGGGTCGAGC